TATATTGAGGTGGATAACTAACATTTGATTATTATTTCTTTCATGCTCATTCTTAAAAAGAAATCCTTCTAGTTAACTAGGAAAGTAATATGAACAACCTGAAAATTTATTGTGATAAATATTGTTATCAGAGTCTAAGTTTTCATTTAACGTAGAGTAATTTGTTTTTTGAAATTTAAAAACACGAGATTCAAAGTTTTCATTTGTAGCCATCATTAATATATTTTATTTAAAATTTCTTTTTAGAAATGCCCATAAAATTATTCGTTGAAATTGCTTTTACAAGAAGTTTTAATATAAACAATTTTGTCATACCTTACCGTAACACTTTCACTATTCAATCGCCTTTCTTTTACTTCAGCAAACAATTTTTTTCGAAGAGCGACGGTTTCTCGAGAAAAATCTTTGTTCATGAACGTATTTGTGCTTTTGAGTTGATACAATTCCTTCAATATTCTTATTTTGTCTTTATATTTGGTCGTTCATCGTTTTTTTCGTCCAGTGTGGTAAGCTATTTCCTAATGCTTTATCTTTTAATTCTTGGATGTTTGGAGTAAAATTCAGATGCCCAGTTTTCCCACGTTTTCTTGTGCGCTTAAATTCAGTTTTAGAAGTTGCTAAAGTAAAAGTAGACAAATTTTGTATACCATATTTCAGTTCTTGTCTTGACACAGAAGTTTCAACGCTGCCAGACACATCTGATACAGGAGAGCTTATATCTAAATGTTTTGATTTCTTAGGTTATTGTATTTTAACTGATGCCGGAGAGCTTAGTTCTGTATGTGCTGAACTCTCATATTCTTGCGTTTTTCCTAATGTGGAAGAACATATTTCAAAATGAGTTGATTTCTCAAGTTCTTGTGTTAAATCTAATGTTGGTGAGCTTATTTCAAAATGAGTTGATTTCTCAAATTCTTGCGTTAAATCTAATGTGGAAGAGCTTATTTCAAAATGTGATGCTTTCTGAAGTTCTTGTGTTTTTTCATTGCTTTTAAATATTTCAACTTGTTCTGTTGTTAATGAACGTACAAACATGCAGTCTTCAAAAATATTGGGATTGAAAGGATGTATTCCAGTTTTGGCAAAAACATGTACAGCATTTGCTAAAGTTGCACTTTTTAAATATGCATTGTTTAAAAGTCCAGGAACCTGAAATGTGTCACAACTCTACCGGGATGTTGTCTAAGCCATGTCTGAATCTCTTGATCGTAAAAAATCCAACATCAAGTGGTTGGACGCGGTGCGTACAGTGTGCTGGAAAACAAAATATTACAACACCATTTTCTTTTGCATATTCCAAAACTGCCAAGCTTTTATGAGCAACGTGGCTATTTAATAAAAGTAGTTTTTTGTTAGTTTTTGACGCACTAGAGTGGTGCACAAAATGTTCAAGCCATTTTAAGAAACTCTCACTAGTCATCCACTCTTTTTCTTGGCAAAATGCTTTACTGCCTAATGGAGCGCTATCCATTAACTCATTTTTTAATCTTTTTCTAGGAAATATGAATATTGGTGGTACAAATGTTCCTATTGCATTCATACAACATACTACAGTCAATTACCGACCACAATCAACACTACTGAGTGCCCATATTTGTTTTCTTCCATTAATAGCTAATATCTTCTGTGCTTTTTTCTACACATTACTTAACCCTGATTTGTCAACGTTATATATATTTTTAGGAAAAAATTTGTACTGTTTCATAATCATTGATAATGCGGTGAAATAGCAGATAATACTTTTTTTATTAAATGCCTGTGCTCTAGCAAATGACGCATTTTCTGGTGTTCTTAGTAAAGTGTTAGGATTACGTCGTAAATATCCATTCAATCGTTTTTTACCTGCCATTCTGAAACACTTCAGAATGGCAGGTAAAAAACGATTGAATGGATATTTACGACGTAATCCTAACAATTAAAATTATTAATAATTAAAATTATGCTTTATATAATTTTCTTCCGCTATTTCAAACACCAGTCGGCATAGGTCTTTCGTTATAAGACCAAAAAAGTTGTCTCTACATTAATTATATGCATATTTGATTTTTCTTCGATTTTTTTTTCTACTACTTTATAATCTGTTCTTTTATAAATATTGAGCACTCTATTTTGTAGAACACATTTTAAAATTGTTTAAATTTATATATACATACATTAATTTATATATATATATATATATATATATATATATATATATATATATATATATATATATATATATATATATATATATATATATATATGTATATATGTATATATATATATCTATATATATATATATATATATATATATATATATATATATATATATATATATTATATATATATTATATATATATATATATATATATATATATATATATATATATATATATATATATATATATATATATATATATATATATATATATATATATATATATATATATATATATATATATACAGTATGTAAAAAAAGTCACCCCCTGATAATTTTTCAATAAAAACAATTTTTTTTATGCTTAAATTTAGATTTTTGACCTTAATTTTTTTTTAAACATTAAATTTATATTAAAAAAACATTTTTATAACAAGATATTAATATTCTGACTCTTAAAACAAAAATTATCCACTAAATTAGAAAAAGTGTAATTCATAAAATCACCCCCTAGTCATTTTTTAACTTTTCTGTTGTATAACTTAGAGAATTGTAAAAAAAAAATGCCAAAAACAAACAAATTTAATTGATAAAAGTTATTCTAACTTATTTTTTTAGAAAAGCTTGTTTTCTTTTTAGGTTCATAATAAAAAAATTATAGTAAAAAGATGTGAAACTCATGAATCAGTAAAAGAGCTGATCTTGGGACACTATAAAAGTGGAAAAGGGTATAAAATTATTTCTAAAATAGTAAATGTTAAACCTAATAGTATAAAAAATATCATTTAAAAATATAAAAAATCGGTACCATAAAAAAAATACCAAGAAAAGGACGCCCAGCTAAGACTACTTTATGCATTGATAGAGAAATTAATCGGAAAGTTGAACAAGATTGAGGATTATCTGCACCAAAGCTTGCAAAAGATTTAGAAACAGGTAATTGTATAACTGTAAATTCTCAAACTGTTCGCAATCGGTTTAAAAATCAAAGTTTTTTAGGTAGAGTTGCTCCAAAAAAGCCCTTTTTGAGTAAAAAGAATCAAAAAAAAAGATTGGCTTAGGCAAAGAAACATTCAAATTGGACTAGTAACCAATGGCGTAGAGTTTTATGGTCCAATCAAACAAAAATATGTTTATTTGGTTCTAATGGTATCATACGCAAATGGAGAAAGAATGGTGAACGCTTAAACCCTAAATGCATGAGACCAACTGTCAAACATGGAGGAGGTAACATTAAGCTTTATTATAAAATTTTCAATATTATATATATTTTTAACTTGTTTTTTCCTATTTTCATAGGTCCAATGATGGTTTGGGGCTTCTTTGCTTGGAGTGGTGTTGGCGAACTTGAATTCTTTGATGGAATAATGACAAACGAGGTTTAAACTGATATTCTGAAGTGAAAACTGAGATTAAGCGCCGAAAGTGCAGGCTTATCTCGTAATTTTAATTTTCAACAAGATGGAGATCCTAAACACACATCAAAGTTAGCTACTTTGTAGTTAAAAAAAACAGTATTAAGACGTTAGATCAGGCTTCTCAGTCACGAGACCTAAATCCGATTGAAAATTTATGGAATCTTTTTAAAATTAAAGTAGCTGATCAAAAACCATCCAGTTTGTCACAATTAAAAGCGATTCTTATTGAAGAGTGGGAAAAATTTGACCCACAATGGCTTAAAACCTTAGTAAATTTAATGCCCAAAAGATGTCTTGCAGTCATTAAGGTAAAAGGCAAATAGAATATAAATTTTATATCAGCAAAATAATTATTTATACACTTTTTTGATTACAAAAAAGTGTATAAATAATTATTTTGCTGATATCCTTTTTTGACCTACACTTTTTCTAATTTAGTGGACAAATTTTGTTTTGAGTATAAGAATAATATTTTCTTGTTCTTATAAATATGTTTTTTAAATATAAATTCAATATTTAAAAAAAAATTAAGGTCAAAAATCTAAATTTAAGCATAAAAAAAATTGTTTTTATTGAAAAATCATCAGGGGGGGATTGACTTATTTGACATAATATGATATATATATATATATATATATATATATATATATATATTATATATATATATATATATATATATATATATATATATATAGTATATATATATATATATATATATATATATATTATATATATATATATATATATTATATATATATATATATATATATATATATATATATATATATATATATATATATATATATATACATATGGGCAATTCCATAAAAACTTTCTCAAAGCTTAAAATATAATATACATTAATAATATAATGATATGAAAATATTATATTTTAAATAATTATAATTTATAATTTTTGAAAAACAATTTGTTCAAAGTTCAAAGAGCAAATAATACGTTATTGCATTTGTGATATTAGGCGCCGTGTAATTTAAACATTAAGTCCAATGATAGCATACCTAAGCCAACATGCGCAACTGGTAAATATGCCATCATAGGAAAAAGGCACCATTTTCACTTAAACTTGCTGTGCCTGTCTTGTTCAAAAGAAACAGTTAAAGTAAATGTTCTAATTAATGCACTAAAGATGTAGATGAAATGCAAACAGTTTCTTTGTTTTACGTTTAATAATAAAATCATAATCTTAAATATATAAAATGATTAAAATTACTTCATCATGTTCCAAAAATAATTTCTGTCAATTACGAAAACAATATTTGTGCGAAAGTTACAAACTCTCATATAAATTATACTAAAGCCAATATAAAAATATAGGTCTAATCAGTTTTTTATTAAAACCAATATTTATGAAAATATGACCAGTATGCTATTATAAGCGCTATGTCATCATAGGCTCCTTTCCCCTATTTAATTTATTTTCTTACCATTTCATTTTTGATAATGGTTACTTCATTTTTGAGAATGGTCGTTTCATGCTCGTTTAACATAATTTTATTTTCAAGTGCAGCAATTTTTGATATTGACATAGAAAAATGGTTTTGTGTTGAAGAATTGACATGAGTATCTTGTTCTTTTCTCATTCCCTGCAAAATAAAACATATACCACAACTATAATAATAAAAACTAAAATAAAAAAAATCATATTTTACACGGATCAGTAAAAATTTAAATGATATTAAGATTACATTATTTGAAAACAAATATTTGGTTTAGGAGCAAGATATCCAAGGTTCAAAGTAAGCTCTAAAAAAATATTTAGCGCCTTCGGTAAGAAAGATGTCCTGAACTTTCTATTATATTTTATTCTAATTTTCTGTTTATATGCTCTTTTGCAGTGCTCTGTGACATATCTGTAAGGTCTTCTTGGAGTTATTTAAAGAAAAATTAAAAAAAAAAAGTATTTTCCTCCCCTTGTTATTTATTTTAACTATTTTTTTTTTGCTGCCGCAAGGGTACGAAAACAATTAAAAATTTGTTAATAATATCAAAATCAAATAAAAGTGCTATTAAGCAAACAACCCAAGCAACATCAAAATCAAATAAAAGTGTTATATAGCAAACAACATAAACAACATCAAAATCAAATAAAAGTGTTATATAGCAAACAACCCAAATAACATCAAAATCAAATAAAAGTGTTATATAGCAAACAACATAAACAACATCAAAATCAATTAAAAGTGCTATATAGCAGAGAACATATACAACATCAAAATCAAATAAAAGTAAATATTCTTTGTATTTGTTTAAATATGTTAAATAATATCATTTAAAGTATCATTAAAGTGTACAACTATGTGTGTAAAATCAGACTTTGGTTAATACCAGATTAAAGTAATACATGTCAAGATAATGAGATGATGCGTAAGATAAATTAGTTTTACCAATGGTAGGCACTTCAGTCACGTGACTTTTTCCGTGTGACATGTTTAGAATGTAAGCATAAGCGAATTTTTCGGCAATCTTCTCGGGAATTATTTTCATCTAATTTCAAACCCAATTGCCAGTTTTTTTTCACTGGCAAAAATTAAAAAATAATGTTAATCTGTGGAGATTATTCTTCAAAGTTTCTTAAAAAAGAAGCTAGAAGATTTATCAAGTCGTTTTCTCTTTAGTTTATTTTATTTACACTTTTTGACAAGTACATATATATATATATATATATATATATATATATATATATATATATATATATATATATATATATATATATATATATATATATATATATATATATATATATATATATATATATATATATATATATATATATATATATATATATATATATATATATATAAAGAGAGAGAGAGAGAGAAAGAGAGAGAGAGAGAGAGAGAGAGAGAGAGAATGACCAACCTAAATTACTTGATACATGTATGTGATTTAATTGTAGAAACGTAAACACTTTTTTTTAGACAGTCGTAGCCATTTTATAATTAAATTTTTATCGTGTTTTTTAGTTTTACTTTAAAATAAAAAAAAAACGAACAAACAAAACCCCGAAAATTCAACACAGAAACACAGAAGCCAACCAGAAAGCATCGTTTATGGAATTATGAATCTATGATATCAGCAATTAAAAATGTTAAAAATACAGGTTCACAACGAGCAGCATATAAAGATTTTGACATTCTAGGATGTTTGTTTCAAATTTGACTTTCTGGAATAACGGATATAGGAGCCAAACCTAGACATCCAACTAATTTTGATGAAAATAAAATAATTGATTTTGCATTCAATCGTGCGATTTCAGGAATCAGATTTGGTAGATTGAAATTTCTAAAATATGCTAAAACTTTGTTTAAAAGCATAAAAAGCATTCAAGAACAGACTCCTACAGAGAAATGGTGGCGTGGGATTTGCAAGAGGCATAAAGATTTAACTTGATGTCAACCAGAAGGTACAACAGCTATTAGATATCAGTGTATGAATGTATCATTGTGTGAAAGTGTCAATATATTTCCATTTTTAAAAATGTGTTAACGGAAAACAACCTACTCCAGAAACCGCAAAAAATTTGGAATATGAATGAGACTAAGATGCAGTTTGATTACCGTCCTGGAAAAATAGTTGCAAAAAAAAAGAGTTGAGTATCTAGAGTAATAACTTGTGTTAATGCAATGGGTAACTCTTTTTTACCACATTTCATATTAAAAAAAAAACTACTAATTCACTCTCGAGTTTTTAATTTGAAAATGGCCCTGAAGAAAATACACGGAGTGTTTCAGATAGTGGTTAAACAAAGCAAGGAATTGTATTACTATTGTTTACAAAGACATTTTGTTGCGGAAAAATTGGATTTTTATTAATGAATATGAATTTGTTTACTCTTAAAATATAAAAACGGTCTCGCTTTTTAACTAAAGTTTATTTTTTTTTATTTTTTTATGTTTTTACAAAAATTTCATTTCCTTTGACCCAATTGCCCCAAATGGGGCAAAGATGAAAAATCACTTGTTCTCTAACTATTTTTTATTATTTTTACATAGTCTTAATTGTTCCCCTCGATTGGGGTTAAAAGACCTGAAGTTTTTACATATATTTTTGATATTTATAAATTTATATTAGTTTGTTCACTCTAAAAGTTTAGAAAAGCCTTTTTTTTAACTTAGTTTATTTTTTACGGGTTTAACAGAGATTTTTGTTTTTTTGGCCCAGTTTGCCCCAAAATGGGAAAACGGGCCTGGTGTACTTTTACATTTATAGGTAATACTTGTAAATATAAATGAATTTATTTGTTCTTACAGTTTGAAAAAGCCCTTTTTTTAACTAAAGTTAATTTTTATTGTTTGTACAGAACTTTGATATTTCTTGGCCCAATAGCTCTGAATGGAGGAAATTAGCCCTAGGATTTTTACGTATTTTTTTGATATTTATAAATGCAAACAAATTTGTATACTCTGACCGTTTGAAAAAGCTCTAATTTTTTATCTAAAGTTAATTTTTACTGTTTTAACAAAGCTTTTACAGCTTTTGATTCAATTGCCCCAAATGGGGCAAACAACCTTTAATATCCTTTCCTAGGGGACCCTTATATGAGAATAATAATTTGTAGAATTAAATGCTTTGATTCTTTAATAAAAAAAAAAAAAATAATAATTTAGCATAAGAACTTCAATGAATTTCCTTCTCATTGATAGCGTTTGAAAAATAAACTTATTATCAAAAATTGGTGTCATAAATCCTTAAGAAAAACTCAACAAATCTTTACGCACAATAAGCGATATTGAGTCTAACATAAATTGTCATAACTTGGGAACCAGTTATCCAAATTTTAAAAAGAACTCATTCTGAAAATGTCTTCATTATCCGCATACTTTAGTATTAATTAAAAAGAGAAAATGATAATATTAAAATCGTGTGAAGTACCTACTTCATATAATATTCTTATTATTTTCTTTTGCACATACGTACCATTTAACCCAAGCTGCTTAGAAACCATTTCTTTCTGCATGTATAACTACTAAGCTTGAGCAACCGTCACATCTTGAGTCTACTGTCACTTTTTCATCGTTGTAAGGTTGCAACTATTTCGCTTTTTGACAAATACTATTATGTATTCAAAAGTCTTTTTTGATTGACTCTTGCATTAACAAAAAAGCATCTTCTTTCTATCCATTTGAGCTCTAAATTGTTATTTAACTGGTTTATTTCCACGCACATGCTTTGTAATTCTCTTTTATCTTTATTTTTCCAAACTCATACATTTAAAAATACTGTATATTGTACACAGCAAAATAGTGTTTTTTATTAAGAAAAGTTTTTCTTATTTTTTTCTTAAAATAAGAAAAATAAATCTTAAAACAAGAACTTAGGAGATTAAAAAACAACTAAAAAAAATATATTGATTTAAGATTAAATTAAGAACATTTGTTATAATATTTTTATTATAATGAAGTTAATTTTTATACAATAGTTAAAATTTTTATTTTCAATACAAAATAATTCAAAAGTAATTATTTTCTTGTTTCAAGACAATTTTCATGAAATAAATTTCTGAAGTTCATCTAAAAATTTCTTATTTATCATAAAAGGGGTAAAAGATAATAGAAAAAATCTTATTAAAACAAGAACTAATGGATATAAAAAAAAATCTTTCAGAAAAAAATATTTTGTTTTGAGTTTTTATTTTTATCTTTGGTTATTCAAGTTAAGATAGTTTGTTTTTATATAATAATCATTATAAAGGTTAGTTTAAAACAAGAAATTAATATTTAAAATTTAATTATCGAGCAATTATTTCCTTGCTTTAAGCTAATCCAAGCTAATAATATTATATATATATATATATATATATATATATATATATATATATATATATATATATATATATATATATATATATATATATATATATATATATATATATATATATATATATATATATATATATATATATATATATATATATATATATATATATATATATATATATATATATATATATATATATATATAGTAGTTCTGTAAATATATATGTATATATCAGATCTACAGCTAACTTACTTTGGTCATTTTTATGCATCCGAAAATCAGGGTTTTACTTAATGTCACATTATTAAAAAGTATCATCGTAAAATGTTAATTTAAAGATGAATTTATTTGCATAATTTATACTAACTTAGTGTATAAATGGAGCTAACTTGTTCAACTTGTTGTTAGTCAAATTTTTGTTGTTGTTTGTCAGATTTAGCGATATAGTATAAAATAAACAAAGACTACAGGAAAAAACAGAACTCATTTATTTTTTTTTTTTTTTTTTTTTTTATCAACAAAAATTTTGACGCAATACTAAAATAAATCAAAATAAGTTTTTCAAAAATAACTATTGTAGATTTTTATTAAGTTAAATTCCAACCGGCACAAACACGTCTTTTAGACGTCTTTTTAGCATCTAAAATGTTATCACATTTTAGATGTTTATATTTAGATAAATACAAGACATCTAATAGTAGTCATCTTTTAGACGGCTTTAGACAGCTATTATTCGTCGTCTCAAAGATAAATACAATTAGATGTATTGTAGTTGCCTGAATTTAGACATCTAAAAGTTGTTAGTATTTTTGATTCTAAAAAGGCG